TCCAAGTAGCTGGAATTACAGGCATGCGCTACCACACCCGGCTGATTTTTTGATTTATTGGAGAGATGAGGTCTCGAACTCGCAAGTTCAGGCAATCCACTCACCTCAGCCTCCCAAAGGCATGGGATTACAGGTTGAGCCACTGAGTCTGGCTCAGATGATTTCTTATTGCTCATTTACTTCCTTTATTTTCAGACTGAAGGACTCCCTTTAGCATTTCTTATAGGACAGGTCTGGCGTTGACCAAATCGCTCAGCTTTTGTTAATCTTGAAAAAGCTATTACTCCTTCATGTTTGAAGGATATTTTTGCTAGTTATAATAATTCTAGGTTGAAAGTTTGTTTTTGTTTTTTTCTTCAGCACTTTGAAGACATTATGCCACTCATTCCTGGCCTGTCAAGTTTCCATTGAGACGTCTGCTGCCATACATGTTGGAACTCCTTTATATATGTTTTCTTTTCTCTTACTTTTAGGATCCTTTCTTATCCATGACCTTTGGAAGTCTGATTATTGAATGCTTTGAGGTAGTCTTATTTGGGTTAAATTTGCTTGGTATTCTATGACCTTCTTGTACCTGAATATTGACACCTTCCTATAGATTTGGCACCTTCCTGTAGATTTGGAAAGTTCTCTGCTATTATTTCTTTGAATAAACTTTTCTAACTCAGTCTCTCTAAGACCAGTAGTAACTCTTAGATTTGCCCTTTTCAGGCTGTTTTCTAGATCTTATAGGCATGTTTTGTTCTTTTATTTTTCTGTGTATCTTCATAAAACCTGTCTTCAAGCTCACTTACTCATTCTTCCGCTTGATCAGTTCTGCTATTGAGAGATTGATTCACTTTTCATTTAAATTTTTCAGCTTGATTTTTTTTTTTCAGTTTCGATATCTTTGTTAAATTTGTCTTGTAGGATTCAGAGAATCCTTCTCTGTGATGTCTTGAAGTTTGTTGAACTTCCTCAGATCAGCTTTCTGAATTCTCTTATCAGAAAGGTTGCATATTCTGTCACCCTGGGATTGGTCCCAGGTGTCTAATGTACCTCGTTTGGTGAGGTCATGTTTTCTTGGAGGGTCTTCATACTTGTACATATTCATAGCTATCTGGATACTGAAGAGTTAGATTTATTCCAGTCCTTGTAGCATGGGCCTGCATGTACTTGCTCTTCTTGAGACGGCTTTCTGAGTATTTCAAGGGAATTGAGTGTTGTGATCTAAGCCTGGGGTCACCGCAGCCACATCAGCACTATGGGCCCAAGCCCAGTGTCTCTGCAACTCCTGCAGAGTTCCAGAGGTTCCACCGTGATGGGCTTGGGTAAGATCCTGGAGAATTCTCTGGATTACCAGGCAGAGTCTCATTCAGAAGGTGTTTATCTCCCACTGAGCTGTACTTCCTGGAGTTGGTGCGGGTGATGCAAACATGCCCTTGGCCTCCCAGCTTGAGTAAGGGCTGCCTCCTTGTGGCCTGACTGCCTTTCAGATTTACTGTGGATCCCGGGCTACTCTGGTCAGGCATTGGTGGAGCTGGCCTGTACTGAAGTTCCTGCCACTGAGGTGGAGGATGCCCCTCAGATCCAGCTGGTCTAAATGCTTCCTCTTTGGGAAGCCGGAACCTGCCCTGTGTTTTGTCTGCTGTCACAGGGTAGTGCTAAGTTCCTATGCAATTTTTCATAGTCCCTTTGCTGTCCCTCACCCAAGCACACAGATTCTCCCTTGGTGAGAGCTGTGAAGGACAGGAAGGAGGGTGGAGGTATTACAAGGCTGTCTTCCAACCTTCTTTGGTGCCTCTGTCCTTGGTATGATTACTCAGCTGATTCTGGGCTTTTATGAAGGTGCTTTCTTGTGTGAACAGTTGGTGTCCTGTTGGGAAGGGGCCATCTGGCGCTGCCTCCTGCTTTCCTTGTGGGGTTTGCTGTTTTATCACATGGCCACTACTAGCTGTGAGGAACCCTGAGAAATGTAAGCTTTTAGTGTGTTACTGTCATCCCCTCTAGAATTGAAGTCTGAAATTGTAGTCTGTACTATAATATAATCTAGCGGTAAAACAGGAAGGTGAGACCTAAGTGGATAAAATGAAAGTATGCTCTGCTATTGAAATGAAGCATGTTATCTGGTTCTTATATTTCCATTACCATGTGTTTTAATTTCCCTTTAGTATAGATACTCGTGAAAATATCATTAGTCAGATTATCATAAATTGTTATAAACTAAATTTTATGGCAGAGTGTAATATGAGACTGCTGTGAGTATTTCATGGAAAAGGATATTTATGAGCATGACATACCTATTCTTGTGCAGTCTCATATAAATATTATATAAAAGCACACACACACACA